CTGACTCCAGGCCCCACCTAGATGCCTCCATAAATAGTAGATATTTAATAAATGCTGCTGATTGCTTCTCCACTGGCTCCTTCTTGTCTGCCATTTGCCCCCAAATATGCTCAAAATCTCCCTAACTCTTTAAAAACAAAAAAAAAGTGTTTCCCTTATTCTATATTTCTTAATCCTATTCAATCTTTTTTCTCCCCATCAATTCTAAACTTCTTGAAAAAATTTTCTATACCCAATTCCTCCATTTCCTCACTAGCATTCTCTTCAAGCTCTTCTAATGAACAATTTTGAAAGACTTAGCAATCTGAACACCTCAGTGACCAATGTTGATGTCAAGGTTTTTGTATACGTTTCTACTAATCAACTAAAATAGCATCAAAAGTCAACGACCCCCTACTCAGTGAACCCAATGGTCTTTTTTCAGTCTCTATCCTTCTTGACCTTTCTGCTATATTTAATATTTAATAATAAGAAATAATACTTACTCCTGCTAGATACTATCTCCACTTGTGGTTTCTAAGATACCTTCTCATGGTTTTCCTCCTACCTCTCTAACCACTCTTTGCCTCCTTTGCTGTCTCCTCTTCTTTTCCTAACCACCTAAGGTAGTTGTTCCCCAAGGGTCTGTCCTTTCCTTTCTCTATAATCTCTCCATGGCAATCTTATTCACTCTTATGTTTTTAACTACCACTTCTATGTAGAATAGTCACAAATATCTCTCTGGCCTTCATAACTCTTTTCTGAGCTCCAGACTTGTACTTCTAATTGCCTATAGGATATCTCCACCTAGAAAAAATTAAATATATCCAAAACCAATCTTACTATTGTTCATGATAAGCCTGCACTCTCATTCTAACTTCACTAATTCTATCTGTGGCACCACTCAACTTCCCATGTTTGAAACCTAGGTTTATCCTTTTTTTCTTCTTACTTTTCATGCCTAGTCAAATACCAACTTCTATCAATTCTACCTCCACAGCATCTCATATCTATTCCTCTTTTCTATTTCCACTTCTACCACTTTCATCTTAAAGTCCTCATTAATACCTATTTCATTGTTCATATTGCTACCATTCTAATCTTTCCCTATGCATGGATCTGAGCATGTCAATCCTCGGCTCAGAAATGTCCAAAGACTTCTTATTGCCTATTAAGTCAAGTCTGAATACCACTGCCTGGCATTCAAAGCTCTCCAAAACTTAGACTCACCCTACCTTTCTAGTCTTATTTCATATTCTTCCTTCCCTGACCTCTACAGTAAAGGTAAATTGGACTATTCTATGCCCCCTAATATGGCCAGCATTTCCTGGCTCCATGGCTTTTCTTATACATTTCCTTATCCCTAAAGTATCATGTCTTCCCCTTTTTGTTTAATGAATTCCTATCTATCCTTTAAAGTACAACCCAAATGTCATTTCTTCCATGATGCCTTCCTAGACAGTCTGTTGGTAACGCTCTTCTTCCTCAGACATCACATAACACATTACATTGTAACTATATTTATCTTATAATATTATGCATTATAGTTATCTGGTTTTGCCTTATTATCTACTAGACTATAAATTCAAGAAAAGCAGGTATGGATGGTGTCTTATCTGTTCTTTCTATCTCCATTAACACATAACAGTACTTTGGATAGAGTAGGCATTTAATAAACGTTTCTTTAATGGATGAGTATATTGCTGTTTTATTTTTTTAAAAAGCAATGATATTTTCTCAAAGAAAAAAACTGATCTGGTAATAACATATTGCTACAACCTAAGAACACTTAGTAAATATTTTTGTATTTATTTTCTTTTAAATTGTTTGTTAGCCTATGTCCCTTGGTGACAAAATATTATCCTGCTATACAAGGTATTCCAGAAAACTAATAACTACATTAAGAATTTTGGGACACCCTGTCTTGTACCCTTTTTTCCCATTATGACATGGAGTACATGTTTTTAAAAGTTTGTTAGACACCTATAAGTTCAGGTTCTTAGTATATTCTATCAAGACCATCACAAAAACCCCCAAATAGTCCTCCTTGCCTCCGGTGTCTTCACTCTCCATTTCATCCTTCACACAGCTGCCAAACTGATATTCCTAAAGCACAGATCAAACCATTTTCATTACCTTGTTCAAGATGTTCCTACTATAAAGAACTTGTGGGAGGATATAAAAAAACCACAGGATGGCCAGGCACAGGTAAGCTGTAATCTGCATCACTGAAGGGAACCCCCAAATCAAGGAACTCACAAATCCATTTGAATATTGAATGAAAATCCCCGGTACCTAGTATATAGAGCCTGGTACACAGTAGGCATTTAATAAATGCTTATTGAATGAATAAATTACAATTTCTAAATCACATCTATTTAAAACTATTTCATTATGCTCCTGATTATGGACAAATGGGGCAAGAAGTCTTTTAGAGTATTCCTAATTTTCAAATATTTTCTCAAAAAAATAAAAATTTTTTTTAAAGTCTATGGTTTTTATTTCTTAACATAACAAATAAGCTATTTATACCACATTTACACCACAAAAGGTATCATTAAAATATTAAAACAAGGATATGAAGGAAAGTTACATTTGCCAGTTTCATGCAATCTTACTTAATATAACCATTATAAATTTTAAATTAGAGGCAGCTAGGTGGCCTAAGTGGATAAAGCATGGGTTCTGGACTCAGAAGGACCCAAGTTCAAATCTGACCTCAGACACATAACACTTACTAGCTGTGTGACTCTGGGCAAGTCACTTAACCCCAATTGCCTCACCCAAAAAAATAAAAGTATCAAAAATTTAAAAAATAAAATAAAATAAATTTTAAATTAAGTAAAAGATCTGAGTTTAGCATTTTTTTTAATTTCATCAATTTATAAAGGCTTCATCTCTGGTATGGATTAGAACCATTTTTAAACTTGTTTTTGATAAAGCATTTTTCCTCTAACCATGCCAGGGTCATTGATTTACATAAATTCTAGCAAAGAACTATGGAAACTTAAAAATATATAATTAAAATGTCACAGATCACTTAATCTATTCTGTCAAAACAGGGAACATTTAACTCTTGCTTCACTTCCTCTAAAAGAAATTCTACGTACTTTATTTTTCCCAACAGGAAAAAAAAATCAGTATAGTAAACTTTCAAGTTACTTCCCTAATCAAACTTTAAAATGATTTTGGTTAACCACAAATCGACTCAAGTATTTAAGCATTTTTCTGAACGTATTTTACTGGAACACTTCTGAAAATATATAATAATGCCATATAGTAATTATGTAACTGTTCTATAGAATTATAAATTATCCCACTGATTATTTTTACAGTCATTTCACAGATAAATAGGGCAGCTTTTCCCCACTATAAATTATATCCAAAACTAACTTGATGCATTTCTAGTTTAAAGTAGTTATTCTGTAAATAGCTCTTTTATTTAGGATTAAAACATAACCATAAAAAGATTTTGTTAATCACATTTTACTAAATTGCATCACATAAATCCATAAAGTTACAACCTGCCAACATTACTTTCAAACATCCTGAAATGATTAGCAAAAAATATACTTTTCAATAGACTCTGAAAATTCAGAAGCATATTAGATTAACTGTGGTTTTAAACATTTTTAACCTTTTTTACTAGTCACTTGGATGACCAAAGTATTTAGAATACTCCAAACATAAAATAAACTTACTTGTCTTTCCAACCCTCTCAGACATGAAATGTCATTAAATTATTAAGTAAAATCTAAACCAAGTTTATTACATACATTTTCAAAACCAAGCACTACGTATTTTGTAATCCCACAGATTGTTTTTCCCCCACATGATTCATTATTAACCTACACAACACTGGTATGCAAAGGTAAAGCAATAAATGCTATAAATGAGGTAATTAGACACAAACAACATTATGCTACATTAATAAATTAGGGTGTAAATATATTCATAAGATGAGAGGAGTTTAGACTAGTTCTCTTAAAATTCTTGCTCAGTACCTGGAACCCTACTGTCCTCATGTTCACCTTAGTCACTTTTCTTCTACCTTCCCTTGCCTCCCTCACCTCATCCCATACCACACCAATTTCCACCTTTTTCTAATAATAATAATCAAATCACCATCTTTATGACTTCCTGTACCACAACTCCCTTCCTTGTTCACCACTGCCCCATATGTGTTGTTTCCTTCCCTTAGAATGTAAGCTCTTTGATGGCACGGTCTGTCTGTCTAGATTTATATTTGTATCTCCAGTACTTGACTCTATGACACAGGATCATAGATTTAGAACTAAAAGGGACCCTGGAGGCCACATAGTGTAACACTCTCATTTTAGTGATGAGGAAACTGAGGTATAACAAAGTTAATCACTTGCTTAGGGTCACCCAGTTACTAAGTATCTGAGGCGGTATTTGAACCTAGGTCTTTCTGAATCCAAGTCCAGAGCCCTATCCATTACATCATGAGTTCCTTCATTCACTTATTTATTCAGTAGTTTCTTTTTCACCACTCCCTTCCCCAGCAAACTTCATAATATAGATCCTTCAGAATTTTTTTTTTTAGTGTCTGGACCTGTGATTTCATGAGTAGGGAACTTTCTCTACCACTGCCTAGGCTAGGGCCCTGAGAAATGGCCACTAGGTGGCACAGTAGAGAGAGCACTGGGCTTGGAATGGAGAAGACTTGAACTCAAATACTGCCTCAGACATGAACTAGCTGTGTAATTTTCAACAAGTCACATAAAAGCTACTTGCCTCAATCTTTAAAAAATGAGGATAATACCAGCACCCACTTCCCAGGCCTCTTGGGAGGATCAAATGAGCTATTTGTAAAGTGCCTTGTAAATATAAATGCCAGCTATTTAGTGACTTGCCTATCATCACAGAGGCAGCATTTGAACCCAAGTTTTCTTGACTTCAAAGACAACTCTCTATCCATTATGCCATGTTCTCTCTCTGTAGAAAACAGATTAGGAAATTAATTTCAAAATAAAATATAGCATTGAAAAATCACTTACTGTCTTATTCCGTAACCGAATTATGTCTGAAACAGAGCCAGCTCCACAGTATTCCATAACAATCCAAAGGTCAGTGTTCTTAAAGTAACTGCCATAGTACTTTACAACATAGGGGCTGAAGAGAAAGAAAAAAGATTAAAACTTTATAAATTCCAGAAGTAGAGATTTCCCCTAATAAATGGTATTTTAAACACATCATGATGTTACAAGTGAGTATCATTATCTGAATTACATCAATTCTGCACAGTTAGGCTTTAATCCATGAATGGAATTAAATAAGATCATAAACCATAAGAACAAATTTCCAGTTGTTTATGTCATTCCCAAGGTAATATAGACTTAATTTATATAAATTCTATATTCTACTAATCAAATACACATTATGACGATAGCTTTCCAGATAATATTTAACATAATTTAACATAAAGCACCTAAAACACACTCTATAACCACTACCTCTGAAGTATAAGCCCTCTACAGACACATGGTTTCAATGAAATATTAACATTCAAATAAAAAAAGATGCTATTTCAGGATTGCTACCAACAACAAAAAAAAATATTCTCTCCTCATTTGTCCCTTGAAAATTCTGGGTCTTAATGCATTTTGGGAAATTACACAGTACTTTCAAGTATTTTCAATAATCCTGAACCGGGAAAAAATCCATCTCTAACACCAGCATTCTCCTAGTAGAGCCACACGAATGAGATTCGTGGAACAGAATAATTTCCAAAGAATTAAAGTCACAAACAATTGACAGGGCAAGAGAAAGGCACATGGTATGCAAAAGTAGCCTGCAACAATTACCAAAAGGACCTTCGAGGACAAAAGAAACAAACAGTATGTGCTACTGAGAAAGGAGAAGGGTAAGAGATTCAGCAAGAGACAGACAATGGCCCAGAATCCTAGAGACAGGGAAAAACAAGAGGACTGAAAATTCAGGTGAATGTGTACATATGCTTTTTGAAATTTTTATAGTAGAACATGAACACCAGTAATACAGGATGAGAAGGTATAGAACAATTTTGATTTGCATCACTGAACACCTTGTCATCAAATCCAAAAAAGATCTATACATTCCCAAACAAAAACACAAACCCATCCAAAATGTTTTTGAAGTTAGTATATTATGTACTCAAAAGTAAACATAACTAGCACTGATTAAGAACCTACTATGAACAAAGCAATGTACTAAGTGCTTAAGATACAAAGAAACTAAAAAAAGAAAAGTCCTTGCTCTAAAGGAGCTCACAATCCAGTAAGAGAAAAGATAACATGTAAATAATTATGTACAAATAAGATATATACAGGATAAACTGGGTTTTGTCTCAGAGGTAGGATTAAGGACCCAGAAAGATTTCTTGAAAAAAATAAGACTTTACATAAGACTTGAAGGAAGCCAAAGAAGCTAGAAGACAGAGATGAGAAGGCAGAGAATTCCAAGAATGGGGTGACAGCCAGTGACAATGCCTGGAGTCAGAAGACGGAATTTCTTGTGCAAGAATAGTTAAGGAAGGGTCACTGAATCAAAGAGTCCAAGGAACAGAACAAGGTGTAAGAAGACTGGAAAGGTAGGAAGGAACCAAGTACTATGAGTCTGGGACGGGGGGTGGGAAAGTAAAGGCTATGTATTACTCCATGGAAAACAGGGATTCACTGGAATATCAAAAAGGTGTCCTGACAACAGCCTTAAGTCTCTTTTCAGGGACTGGAAAACATTTTAGTGCTTTATCTGTGTGTCTGGGCTCTTATGAGTCTACTATGACTTCTGGTTTTGTGCAGTTGAATAAAGGTTGCCCCGTGCCTGATATGCTTTTAGCACCTTGAATGCTTTTAAAGAGCTCAAGACCCTCTTACACACTTTTTTTTTGGGGGGGGGACACAAAGCAATCAGGGTTAAGTGACTTGCCCAGGGTCACACAGCTAGTGTGTGTCTGAGGCTGGATTTGAACTCAGGTCCTCCTGACTCCAGGGTCAGTGCTCTATCTACTCTGCCACCTAGCTGCCCCACTTATCCACTTTTTTAAGGAAAGCTGCACTCGAGCTATGCCAAAAATATATTAGAAGTTTTTCCTAAAGCAGCTCTGGGTGCAGACATCAAGCCAAAGAGAAAAACTGACCTTCTTGCAATAAGCCCCCAGAATTGTATCTGGTTCAAATGAGCCTAAAATCTTAGGGAGCCTTGAGCCATGGTAAACATATAAATTGTGCATCCCTAAAACGATCACCATAAGATAAGGTAGAAGATGTTGAGTGATGTATCCAGTAAATGATACAGAGTAGTTCAGGGGGAAAAATGATCATAACGAAGTAGCCTAGGAACACTGCATGGAGCAGGTAGAACTACAACTAAACCTTGAAGGGCTAGATTTCTAAATGTGGAGAGTTAGAAGGCATTTCAGGCAAGGAAAAATATCAGGAGTGCCAAGATGCAATATACAAAATATGTCTGGGAGACAAGTAAACTTGAAATAGGTGTGGTGGGAGATGATGTAGAAGAAATACTTAAGTCTATAGAAAGCCTTAAATGAAAGTCTTAGGAATACAGATTTTATTCTCTAACAAACAACAGTCATTGCAGGATTTTTGAAGAAAGAGTAGACATGTACAAAATGCTAATTCCAAAAGAATAATTTCCATCTGCTGCTCTATGCCTTTTCACCCCCCACGCCTGGAAGGCTTTCCTATATCCTGACTTTCCTGGTTTCCTTCAAGATTCAGCTCAAATCTCACCCTCTGCAGTAAGTCTTTCAAGAGTGCCCTTCTTCACACACATTCTTTTAGTGTCTTCACTTTGAAATTCCCTTTCATCCACTCTTAATATATCTTGTCTGAATATATTTGTTTGCACGTTGTCTCCCCAATTCGACTGTGAACTCCTTGAGGACAGTGACCATGTATTTGTCTTACTTTGTATCTCCAGCACTTATCACTGTGCCTGAAGCACAGTAAGTGTTTAATAAATACTTGCTGACTGACCAACTGACTAGTATCAATGTATAAAAGTAGACTGGAGTATGGAGAGACAAAAGGAAGGGAAAATAGAAAACTTCCATAATCTATAAGAAACAATGAACATAAGAAACAATGAAAGAATTCAGAGAAATCTGGGAATACTTTCATGACCTGACACAGTTCAAAAATTGTTAACTACAAGATACACAAAAATGAGCTCAATAATGCGAATAAAAAGGTAGTAAAGATGCCTGGGACTCACTTATCTTAGAGCTAGGCAGACACGTTCCCACAGAGTTCTAGGGGTATCCCTGAGGCATTAGGGTTCCTTTCTCTTCTCAAACATCATTGGCTCAAGTCCCCAGCACTTGTGTTCTTCCTCCTGTTAGGTGTCAGTGACTAGTAGCCCCATTTCATTTTACCAAATGAAATCAATTAGCTTTACAAAAGGATATTTACTTTGAAGACATAACAAGAACAGAAGTACAAACATTTCCTCCTAATGCTCTGGGGTTATACCCTCCCCATACTACCTTGGTCTCTGGGTAGAATGGGCTCAGACTTGATGGAATTTCTATATAGCAGTTAGTTCCACAAGTTCATGACATCACTGCTGAAAGAATGCTCATCTCAAGTACTGAATATTGCCAGTTGCTAATCAGGATATCAATGCTAACTGCAAAACTTGGCATAAATTCTATTTCCAGGCCCCTGTGAGACTCTTGGCCTACAGTCCTTTCACTCAAAACAAATAAATGCCAAAGTAGGCAAAAAGCTAAGGCCCAAACTTATCAGTCACATGTCAGCCTCAAAGGGAGATGACCCAACTCCTCCCTCCTCTTATATTGTCTCTCGCTGGATGTCATCAGCAAAGGAATCAAGAAAACAGACATCTAACCAAGAGAGAGGGGAAAAGCCTGATTGAGGCCTTTTGAAGGTGCCTCAAGTTCTGGTTCTGCAACTGCAGCCAAACAAACAGGCATACATGGTTAGCAGACCAGAACCAGTTACAGAGTGTTTCTGCATGCTCCAAGGTCTTTTCAAGGCACTTTCATTACACAACATTCCAACTCTCCTATAAGCAGGCTTCTCAGCCCCTTTTACGCAGGGAACTTCATTAACCAAGCAGGCTAATGCACTCTACCCAGGCTAATAACGACTGAGCTTTTTGGCCAGTCCTCCATTACAAAAACAACACCAAACAACATCAAAACTCAGATTAAATGTAATGTTCACTCCTGGTTCCAAAGTAATGATGTCCGAAACACATTTCTTCTCCTCTCAGTTGTTTCATTCTTCACTTTCAAAGAGGACAAATGACATCATGGGTGATGTTTTGACATGAACTAGATTTAAGTAAGTCAGTTACAAAAAGTCCTCAGGTTCACTCTCTCTTCCAGAGTTACTTAAGTCCAGTGGCAAAGCAAAAGTTAGAAGAATAACTGGTGATGACCCAGGATGCACCTCTGTGTTTTCAATGTCTACCTAGCTCTAAGTGTTCCACAGCATCTACTTCAGCCATCTTCAAGGCCACTGAACAAACTGTTCTCATCTGCCCATTCCACTGAGGAAAATCTTCACATGCTTGGGAAAGGCATCTCCCCCAACAGTTCTGAGGCCTGTTAGTTAGCCTCGATCTGGTTTAGCCTGTCTACTGAGATGGGGTTCACCAGGGGGTGAAGCTGCTGAGCATGCTACAGCTTCTTGAAATCACAGGTGAGAGGTGATTGAAGGTAGACACCAAAGGTGGATGCGCCGCCCTGAAAAAGACTCAGCAGCTCCCACAACAGAGGTACTAGTCCTCTCTGAGCACCCCATACACTCTCCTCTCAGCAAAGCTGATGTAGATACACATGAAGAATATTGTATAAATTGTCAAATTCAGCCAACTGTTATTTGTTTTGCTTAACTGGTTTTCTTTGCTATAATGCAAAATTGTATGGGAGCATAGTTATTAGAAGTGATAGTAGTATAAAAAGGTAGAAAAATTTCAATAAAACTTTATTAAGGGAAAAATATTCAGGGTCACCTCCACATCTAGATAACCAGTGAATGAGGGCTTTAGTGGAGGTTCTTAAAAGTTTTTGAAGACCAAACTAGTTTTCAGAACTAACCCACAGACACTAGAGGACTTTTTTTCTTAGCAAATAACTTCTCAGT